AAGATAGCAATCTCGAGTCTTTGGAATACCAATGACAGTATACAGTATGATGATCCAGGCTTGTTGGCCTCCCAGTCATAGATCAGACTCTGCTTCCAACATACCTAGTTAGACTCAAGATAGGTGGTGCAGGATTACTGGGAAAGGCTAACAAGCCTGATCTTGCCACTGATCATGAAAAGCACTAAAGCAGACATGGGAATTAGATGGCTGAATAAGCCGGCCCTGGCACCAGGCTGCTTACAGTTCCCAGTTCTCCAGGATCCGGCTGTGGTGACACCAAACATTTGCTGAACTCCTTGCCAGAGAGCTCTGGTTACCTAGTGGGAAGAGAAAGGGCTGCAGGCTGAGACCATGTTGAATGCCAAGGGTCAAAAGCCCTCTTCAAAGTGCTCCATGGAACTGCAGATGAACAGCTACGAAGTTCCACAAGAACTACTGGGGGACAAGCAAGGCTTGGACTGAGAGCCCCCTGAAAAGGCTGTCTGGAGTGACTAAGTCCAATAAGAGGGCTGTGTTTTCTCTCTCCATGGTCAAACATACTGGCAAGATCCTGGCAGTGACTGGGAGTCACTACTTGTCACACGAATCCAGAAATTCTTTAATACATCATGTACATGAGGACACAAAAGTTTACCCACTAACTCAGGCGTAGCAGGAGCACAGAGCAGGCTTCACTGCATTCTTTGGACAGTGGCTGGGCAGAGCCACTCAATGCTGTGAGGGAGCATCACAGCTGGTCACTGAGAACAATGACCTAAGAAAGGGATGATCTGTAGGTAATATAGTTATAACCACCACACCACCCCAGTTACCAGCAGCAATTGTAAGGAACTGCAAGATACAAGCAGTTTCCTGTTGGCCACCAACTTGGGCCCACAGGAAAAGGGTCTACTGGCTGGGATGGCCGGAGGGACAGAAGGAGGAGGAGCTACCCTGGCCAAGTTACAAATCTTTTAAATAATAAAGAAGGAGGAATCCAGGTAACAACACATTAGGGCAGTCAGATTCTCTTCCAATTAGTTGTGGAAATTTCTTACACCACTTGAAATTTCAAAGATTAAGTCATAAAGAGAAAGAATTTAGTGAAAACTTAGGAGTGTGATGGTGGAAGTGGTGGTGATGACAAGGGAAAGAGTATTGCTTAGGGGACATTTTGATGGTGAGATAAGATTCTCAGATGATGAATTTTGGGGTCCTCACATTTTCTCTGCCTTTGGATTTTAAGTGGCTTCTAGCTTCTTTAGAAATTATACACTAGGGGCAGCTTGGTGGCGGGCAGCTTGGTGGCGCAGTAGGTAGAGCACCAGCCCTGAAGTCAGGAGGACCCGAGTTCAAATTTGGCCTCAGACCAAACACTTGACACTTACTAGCTGTGTGACCCTAGACAAGTCACTTAACCACAATTGCCCCCCCCCAAAAAAAGAAATTATGCACCAAAATATTTATAGCAGGACTTTTTGTGGCACTGGAAACTGGAAACAAAGTAGATGCCCATCAATCAGGGAAATGCTAAAGAAATGTTGGAATATTAATGTAATGAAACATTACTAACCCATAAGAAATGGTGACTAGAAACACAGACAAGCATGGGAAGACTCCGATGAGCTGATGCATTGTGAAAACAAACACTCTATACAATGACTTCAGCTTAAGTCAAAAAGAAACAACGCTCCATGAGAAGCCCATGGGAAAACCAGGCTCACTATTCTCCTAAGAAATGGAGGTATAAAAACAAAAAGTATCAGCAATGATGAAAACTGATAAGTTCGGGGCTCCCTCCCTCTTCATGACTAGTCTACCTTCTCCTTCCACCGAAGATGCCCACTCCCCTCCAAAACTGCCCTGAGCGTCGTTTCTCATGTGCAAAACTTCACCAGCAATGAGCAGGTTGTCAGCAGGGGCCACTAGGCCTAATTTCATTGCTATTTCTACAGTTTTTAGGAAAGAAAATGTTCAAATACAGACTTGTTGACCAAGTCAGCAATCAGTTCCAATTCCAGATCATTTCTGTGGGAGGTTTTTGAGACGTCTATGAATCTATTTGGAGGTAAAATACATTAATGTTATAAAACATTTGCACAAGACATGTTACTAAACTACCTACAGCTATCAGGAGAAACAGGTCTTAGTTTTATTTTGAGTTGTTAATTTTTCCAATTACTAGTTTCTGGTGAAAATATTTTCATTACTTCTAATCATGCTTTTGGAAGAGCTTTCCCACCCCCTTCCCAACTTTAACTCAATTTTAAATATATATAAAATTAGCTGAAGCTAAGGAAAAAAGTTAAATTTTCAAAAACCAGATATTAAGGACTTTTTGATGATGGTCTACAAACTGAAACTGTTTTTATCTTGTTCAATAATAATGCTGGCCTTCATTTTCCTTTGGATACTGGCGTATCAATCTTCTGGAGCTCTTAGCGGCAACTGTTTCTCCCTTTGTGTTATTTCTGACACTCCATGCTTGATACGTTTAGGCCAATGTAAAAATTGCTGAGCTTTTAAGAAAATGGACATGGCTAATGCAGAAATTGGTTTTGCACGACTACACAATTTGTAATAGCTTTTTGCTTTCTGCTTTCACAATGGGTGAGGAAGGGGAAGGGAGGAGAGAGAGAGTATGAAACTGAAAATTGACTTTTCTAGAAAAAGAAATTGCCATGCTCATCTATTCCTCATCTATATTCCTGCTAGTCATTTGAGGTTCAAGAAAGAGCTTAATATTACCAAGAAGTCACGTTTGAGTAGAACTTGGCCAATCTGTTCCTTAAAAGTCACACTTATATCACATCATCAGAGTGGAGTAAGAACATATACCTTGAGAGTCATAACTTCATGCCAATCCTGAAGGCTGCTGGGTTACTGCTCAAATAAACAAATGGGTCTATTGTTTTTCCAAAGAAAGCCTGGTGTTTGTTAGATTGGCATTAAGGGCCGGAAAGAACTCAACTATGTGCCCAGTGTAGAGGACATGAAAGGAAGATACTGTGGTGACAGACTCGTCTCCTTCATTCCCGGGCCATTTCATATCATCTCGGGGCCACCACCAGTCGTCCTGATCTATACCTGTCCACTGGACCCTGATGGCTAGAAAGTGAGGCGGGTGACTTTGCCCAACCCTCTCTCACTTGAATCCAATTCACTTGCAAGATGCGGCAGCACCTTCCTGATGCCACGGTCCTCTTTGAGAATGAAGGACAAACAACATTTCATCTCATCACAGAGCAACTATGTTTTTCACATTGCTCCAGTGCATGGATTTTGAACTGGGCTCAGGTAGCTCTCCAAGCCACGAAGTGCTGAGAAGCCTGCTCATCCAGCACTGAACATCGGGCTGGGAGAAATCAGACCCAAGCCCCTTCACATCTGGATGCCACTCAAACAAGGGGCGTAGTGCGGTGTAGCAGGAGCATTTCATTTGAAGTGATGAGGCCCTGGGTTCAAACTCTGCTCTGGAATTCACTAGTTTTGTGAGCTTGGAGGCCACATAACCTCAGTATAAAATGAGGGTACTGGCCTAGGTGACCTCCAAGGAAACTTCAGGCTCTACATCTATGACCAGAAGATCCCGTTCAGGCTGGGATACAATGAAGGAAGTTACCCAAGTAGCATGGGGCCCCACCTCATTCATTTAGGCCAGCCAAGTCAAGAGGCGTGGCATCCTCGGACATCTCTAGGGGATCGTTCCTAACGGCTCACTTGCACTTTCTGGCTGGTCTTGTGTTTCATCGATTTCCCACCCTATTTGTCACTTCAGGTCTACCTCACTTTTATCTCAGGTGCTTTCATAAAGCTATCATCACGTTTCCATCGTTGCTTTAAACTCCTTCATCCTCTCACCTGCACCGAAAACTCCCTTAGGTAACTAGTATGGCCTCCCAACTGCCAGATTTTCTCCAACCTCATCTCTGCCCCTTTCTGGCTTCATTATCCTTCCTTTACCTCATCCCTTCTTCAAAAATTAAAAAGTCATAATAAAACAACAATAATGTATCAGGAAAAGATGATAAATACTAAAACACTAATATTTTTAAATTCCTATTTTTTAAAAAACGTGAGCATATTCACCTCTAGGAAAGTAGTAGGGATTCAAGCAAGGGAGTGCCGATATCTTGGATGCTCAAGAGCAGCATGGCAGAAAGAGTGCTGGGTTTGGAGTCTGAAGACCTGGACTTAAATTGTGACTATGCTACTGCCATCAGAATGATGGTGGACAAGCCACTTAGCTTCTCTGGGACACTACATAGGTCTGTGAAATGAAGGGAGGGGACTAGATGAAGTTCCTTCCAGGACCAAATCTATGATCCCATGATCCCTTGAGTTTCCCTCCTACTAACATGACAATCAAGAAGCTTGAGCTGCCACCACAGGAAACAGACCCCATGAGCCAACCTTTCAGGGAAGGAAGGGGCACACTGACCCCAACTGCAATTTCTCCTACCCACTAGTTGCCTACATGGTAGTGACCCGCTTGTTAGCAGTCCAAGCCTGGGTTTAGTTGCCTTGTCCATTCCAAAGTGGACCAGTGGGAGTGACCCCTATTTAGCTTTTGAGGCTCCTCCACATTAAACATGGTGGTCTTATTGAGGTTAGGGGACCTCAGGATATCAGTCCAGGTCCTAGACCTGCTCCCAATCCAGTAAATCAGAGAGAAAAAGGATGTATCTGCTTCATGAATTTATCCTTAACCACACCCACGGAGCGCATGGACAGGGGATGTTCTGTTGTCCCTCCTCCCAAAAGAAGTCCTGCTCCTGCCTGGAATGAGTTGGAATAATCCAAGATTGAGCCCTGCCCTTGTTTAAAGGCCCGGGGCGTTGCCGCCTGGCTGGAGAGAAATCTCTCAAAGAGCAAGGGGTCTTTTTCACCATAAATGCAATCACTGATCATGATGCAAACCGACTAAGAAATTCTATGGCCAATTTGTTCCTGATCATTTAGGCATCTGAGAGGCTAGAATGTAAGAAACAGATTTACCTAAGCTAGGAACTGGCTGAAGAAATGAGAGGAATTGTGAACAGTGTAGCTGCAGGAGCATGTACGTCACTGGATGACATGGCTGTGGCCACAGCTTTGCCATCATGGAGGCTCCTGCCTGATGCCAAGTTTGTGACAAGGCATGGTGTTGATGGAAGCTGGGACACACCTAGACAGCAAAGAGATCCACCCAAGAAAAACAAAAGAGCCTCTTTGGGGCTCCTGGGGTAGCTATATTAGAAACCCAGGAGCAGGTAGGCGATAGACAGTTAGCAGGATCTGCATACCAAGTGGCCTTTGGTCCGTGGGCTGTACTTTTAGCAGCCTGCCCATGCATCTCTTGATCCCTGGCAGCCATGCTAATAGAGAAGCGCAGATATTTTGGAATGAATGGGTATAAAGAATGTGGTCGCTAATATATTTGGGAAAGAAGCGTTGGTCAAGCATACGTCCTTCTTCCCATCCCCCACCCTTCTTTGCTCTCCTTTTTCTGCCTTAGTGGGAAGTACCTGTCGATTAGGGCCATGCAACACGACACTTTGGAACTTCTGATCTTTAGGTCAGGCTTCTCAATACTGGGATTTGGGGAAAGTTATAGTCCACTTTTGAATTCTTTTTTTTATACACAGATGTGTTTAAAAGGATTTCTGGGTTCCATATTCCCACCAAACTCTCCACATACACATATCATTTGCACACTAGATTTTGAAACAAAATTCCACTTAAGTAGCCAATATGTATTTTAGTGTTGTTTCCTCAAAATCTATATAAATATATTGTGGTTGGAACCTGTTAAAGCATACTATCACCACTGTCTAGATTCCAGTGTTTAGAAGACTAGTTCCACGTAGAAATCTGTAGAACAGTCTTGATTTAAACTTGTGGGAGGCTCTGGAAGAGCCCAAGCAGTTTTGCTGACAACTCTTGCCAATCCCTCCTCCCAATACACACACACACACACACACGCATGCGTGTGCACACGCACACACACACTCTTCAGGTATCGACCAAGATCAGGCACTGCTCCTCGACTGAACTGCATGTATCACTGCCAGTTAAGTATGATGAAATGGTAGGAATGAGTGGCCAATATAAAAGGTAAGAAGGCAGGGTCAATCCAGGTCAAGAGGTGTCCCTTGATGAGCAGGCACTGAAGGATCATCTTGGCATGGTGGTTGCCAATTTCACAAAGGTCAGCTCATACTAGATGGATGCCATCAACTTCTCCATTAATTGGTCCAACAGAATTAGCTCATTTAAAGAGATGTGCTCACTAAGGACAAAAAAAATGAGCCAGCATCATTAATCAGTGATCTACTACCCTTCTATGCCAAGTAGCTGATTAGTCCAAGGGGCTTACTGAATGCTCTTAAAAACTAATACATAAGGGGCAGCTAGTGGCACAGTGGACAGAGCACCTGCCCTGGAGTCAGGAAGACCTGAGTTCAAATCTGGCCTCAGACACAAGCTGTGTGACCCTGGGCAAGTCACTTAACCCCAACTGCCTCACTTAAAAAAAAGCAAAAAAAAAATGATACCCATCTTCCCTGTAATAAGGGAGATTTTTCATAGGTGGCTTTATGAAAAGAAGCCTACCTTTTCACCACTAGATGTGCACTTGTGGAAAAATAAGCTCATGAAAAGGTGATCTAAGCAAGAAACTGTCATTTTACCAGTCAGATCTTCAGTTTGGATTAAGAATCCAGGTTCTCCAAAGCCTCAGGCTGCACAGGAATATGAAAAGAATTCCATGACAATTCCATGACAATCCATGACGAAATGTTAGTTAGTAAATGAGCAATAACTGAGAGGCAGCTTTTCATCACACAAGTGAGGGAACAGGGAGGTGGAAGTGGACACAGAGGTAGCAAAAAAAAGTCAAAGTAAGAGGCTAAAGGTCAAATTGATGAATCAAAGGAAAGGAACCATGATGCCAATGGGAATAGCAGAAACAAAAGTTGCAGGTGAAGGTCAGATTTCAAATACAAAGTATCAGGCAAGCAAGAATAGAGCCCCGGGCAAGAATGGAACATTTGGAGGAGCCCAAGGGTTTGGGAAATCTGAACCAATCCATGAATTCAAATAACAACTGAATGACAGGCTGTTTTTGCAGTCAGGGGATGCTCAAACTGCAAGACATTTTTTTTTTAAACAGAAGATGGATACATGCTGGACACTGCTGCCTTGCAAAGGGGCACAATGTTATAGGCAGAAACTCAGATACTCCCAAAACAAATTCCTTGCTATCTCGTGTATACTCTAGCTGGAGGCTTTCCCACATTCATTACCTTCATATAGTTTCGCCTCTCCTATGGATTGCTTGGTATTCAGTAAGATATTTATTCCACCTAAAGCTTTCCCCACATTCACTGGTATTTTTTCAAGTCTGAATAAAGACTGAACTCATGAAGTCTTTCCCACTTTCATTACAGTTCTATGATAGCTCACCTGTATGAATTTTTTGATGTTTAGTAAGTGAAGATGTGTCACCGAAGACCTTCCCACATTCATCACATTCATAAGCTTTCTCTCTACTGTGAATTTTTTGATGTTGAGTAAGGGAGGAAATACGACTGAAAGATCTTCCACATTCTTTACATCTATAGGGTTTTTGTCCAGTATGAACTATCTGATGTCGAGTAAGGCATATGCTCTGGTTGAAAGTTTTCCCACATTCATTACATTCATAAGGTTTCTCTCCAGTATGAATTCTCTGATGTTTAGTAAGCTGTCCACTCTGCCTGAAGGTTTTCCCACATGCACTGCATTCATAAGGTCTCTCTCCAGTATGAATTCTTTGATGTTCAGTGAGGTGTGTACCCCATCTGAAAGTTTTCCCACATTCGTTACATTCATATGGCTTCTCTCCAGTATGAATTCTCTGATGTTGACCAAGATCTCTACTTTGTCTGAAGGATTTTCCACATTCAGGACATTCATATGGTTTTTCTCCACTATGAATTCTCTGATGTTCATTAAAGTAGTTACTCCACCTGAAGGCTTTTCCACATTCATGGCACTCATAGGGTTTCTCTCCAGTGTGTACTCTATGATGTTGAATAAGTTTTGAACGTCGGCTAAAGACTTTCTCACACTCATTACACTTATAAGGTTTTTCTCCAGTATGAATTCTTTGATGTTTCGTAAGTGACGAGCTGTCACTGAAAGCTTTCCCACATTCATTACATTCATAGGGTCTTTCACCAGTATGAACTCTATGATGCTGAGTAAGGGAGGAAACCCGACTGAAAGATTTTTTGCATACTTTACATTCATATGGTTTCTCTCCAGTATGAATTCTCTGATGTCGGGTAAGGCATGCACTTTGGCTGAAGGCTTTCCCACATTCATTACATTTATATGGTTTCTCTCCAGAATGAATTCTCTGATGTTGAGTATATTGTGTATATTGAACAAAAGTTTTCTCACATTCATTACACTCATACAGTTTCTTACTTGAAGAATTTTTTTTACTTTTGGCCCGGTCTGAAGAAGGCTTGGAGCTCTTTCCACTTCTACCTCTATTATGGGATTCTTTAGGAATAGTCAGTTCTGTAACAGGGACTGGGGTCAGACAAAATTTTATTCCATATTCTTTACAATGAGGATCTTTCTTGTGGGTAATAATCATCTGACCCAAGTACTTTACTTGAGGTCTCCTTTCTAACTGACCACCACATTCCTTGGCTTCTCCTAACTTGAAGGCCTTTGGGACTGTTTCAATTGCAGTTTGGGAAGATTCTTCTTCAGAAAGGTTTGGCTGCAGAATTGACACCTTGGTTTCAGGCCTAATCTTGAAGTCTAAAAGAAATAAAAAATGTCAAATGTGTGCTGTTCCCTATAAGGGAACAAAGGAAAGTTTTGTGATGGAAATGGAAGAATGAAACTTATAAAAACAAGTGCAGGGCACAGTTGTCTTTTCGTTGAAAGAACAGGAAAGGGGAAGAAAGAACATGATCACCGACAACTTGGGCAGCCTTGGGACAAGTGACCTAGTCCCTGTGGGCCAGTTTTGTTCACACATGTAACAACATTCCTGGGGAGGGAGGGGATTGGACTACAAGCTCTAAATCCTATGATCTCTTGATAAGGGAGAATGGGACATGAGTGACTATGAGGGTGTAGGGTGTAACATAAACAGAAAACGAGACTACTCTCTTGAAAGGCAGTAGAAGGAAAGGGGTGGCCAGAGAAACAGACTAAGTGGGGGTGGAGGTAGAAAGCAAATAGGAGGATGTGTGATGAGTGAAAGAGGCCCTGGAGATCGGGGCAAGGCCCCCATTGCCTCATGCCAGGACTACTGTACAAGGCTTTCCACTAGTAACCCTGCCTCCTCTCCATGGAGACTCTGCTACTGCCAAGGTGACTAATGTGGGGGCAGCTCTCTCACCACAATCCTAGCCTAATCAGAGTTATCTGCAACCATAGCAGCCCTATTCCTTTCTAGTGGGAATTCCTTCCTAGCCCACTGGCTGTTCCTCATACACGCCCTATCTCCTGTCTCCAAGTCTTTGCACTGGCTGTGTCCCATACTTGGAATGTTCCTCCTCCTCCTCATTTGTGCCTCTTGGAATTCCTGGTTTAATTCAAACTCAGATCAGGCACCACCTTCTGCATGAGGCCCTTCCTGGGCTTTCCTTTCCAAGGTAACCTCCTATCTGCTTGTGTGTATGTATATGGTTGTATATACCCTTTGAGTATACCCCTCTACACAGACATTCATCTCCCCCATTAGAATATAGGCAAGTACAGTTTCACTTTCATCTTTGTCTCTCCAGGGCTTGTGTGACCAAGACATAAGGGATATTTTCAACCTTCTCTGAGGGGAATGGCTGTAGAGAAAGCATAGAGGACTAAGGTGGCCAGCTCCAGGAATGGGCTATCCACCCCTTCCATAGAATGTGCCCTACCTCCTCCCAGTAATCCTTCAGCTGCCACACCCCCCAGGAAATGGTCCCAAGCCCCTCAGCCCTCAGTCCTCTCTTACTCCTCCAATTATCTTCTATTTACTTGTCTCGGTTTACACCGTCTCCCCAGTAGAGTGGAAACTCCTAGGAGGCAGAAACTACCTTTTCTTTTTTGTCTTTGCAGTCCTCATACCCAACACAGCACTGGCATACTACAGGTACCAAAAAATGTTAGGAAGCTCTGGACAAAGAAAGAATGAAGACACCAGAGAGGGCAGAAGCCATCATAAGATGAAGGTCTTGGAAGATGCTGGGAGGAGTGGGATCCAGAATAACAGGAAAGAATGTTCTTTACGAAGAAGGAGGGCCCCCTTTTACTGTGAGTCCAGAGCAAAGACAACAGAAGAAAAAGGTTAAAAAAAACTCAGATGCAAAGGAAGGTGATTTTCCAATATTTGATGGGTAGTTACCTACTTACCAGAGGAAAACCCAAGAAGCAATAGAGGAAAGGTCAGATGAAGCAGTTTTGCAATCGTGAATTTTACCTTTCTAAAATTAGCACAGATTATCTCACAAAGCAATAAGGTCCTGATCAGTGAAAGCGTTCAAGCACAGGCCAAATGCTCATAACAACAGGAAAGCCAGAGAAATGATGGAGTTGAAGTCAAGTGAAGGGAGGGAGCTCCTGCCAAACACCCTGGAGCTTCTCCAAAGGCTGAGGAGGCTCTAGAGAAAGACAGAGAGATTTCACTCTCTCCTGTCAACCATGACTCCCACTGAACTAGGTCACTCACTTACCTGGGCAGCTGCCTCTTAGGATTTTGGCCTTGACCATCCAGGGCTCTTTCCCTTGCTCCAACTGGGAGATCACATCCGGTTTGAAAACTTGGCAACCTGCTCACAGGGAAAGAAAAGGTTCAGTATGTTTATTCTGGTCACAATAAACTATCCCAGGATTCAATCCTAGCCCCTTGGTCCTCAGGACCTCTGATGGATGAGAAAGACACACCAGCCTGGGTGGCAAATTAAACTGCTCACATCCAATTTGATGTCGATCATGTTTCATCTGGAAAGAGTGTAGGTAGCCATGTTCTATGGCCCAAAAGGATTAGCGGCTGCTAAGAGAAAGCATGGTACTGCGAAAAGAACAGTGGGCTTAGAGCTGGGGGGTCTCTGGTCAAGTCCCAGCTCTACCATGCCTCAGCTGTGGAGGTCAATGACCAATCATCTAAATGAACAAACAAACAAACCAGGAAACATGGGCTACTTGTAGTACCAACCTCCCAGGGAGGCTGCAAAGAAAGCCCTTTGTGAATCACAGGATGCTCTAAAACTGTGAGCCCCTCTTTGGGATTCCTGAATCCCAAAGCCCGGATTTACTCAGCCCTTTAGCGAGCTCATGCCTCTTCACAATTTAAGAAAACAGACATAACCATAGAAGGATTCTGAGGATCAAGGGAAGCTGTTCTTACCCAATGAGACCAGGTTTCGATAGTTCTCCAGCATCACGTCCCTGTACAGGGCCCTCTGGGTGGGGTCCAGGTGCCCCCACTCCTCCTGGGTAAAGTCCACAGCCACGTCCTTGAACGTCACTGACGCCTGAAATGCCAAACACATTCCTGTTCTGGGCTGAGCCCTTGACACAGCATAGGAGATGATCGTGAATGTTCCAACAATGCTCCAAGGTCCCGGAGTTACTGTGTGTCTGGGAGGGACCAAGGTACATGGGCCATGCCCTGGAGGAACAGTTATGTCTTAGAAGGAAACCTTTATCCATAAAATAAATGAGAATGTAAGACAATGGTTAGCCTAGCTCTAAAGCACAAGGCACAAAGTGCCTTGAAAGAAGGGTCACAGTCCTGAGGGTAGAATTCATAAGAAAATATGGAAGCTCAGCATTGGAAAAGGCCTTAGATGGCTCTGATTCCAAACTTATACTCAACGTGGGAACGCCCTACTACTCCATCCCCTGGGAAAGGGATAAGGAGTTGACTGCTTCCTAGGGGAATCCACTTTGGGATCCCCCTAATTGTTTTTGTATCTCCAGCATTTAGAACAGTGCTGGAAACACAGTAAGCACTTAATCAATGTTTACTGACTGACTTTGCACTGAGTTGAAATCTGCTTCCTGGTAACTCTACACTTGGTTTTATTCTACCCTCTGAAGCCAGAAATCAAGTAAGCTAAGAGCATTTAGTAAGCACTTACCAGACGCAGGAAGTGGTAGGTGCTGGGGGTACAAAGATAAAAAATGAAACCCCATTTTCAAGTAACTTACATTGTATTAGGGAAGAAACATTGCTTACATATTTAAGTATATACAGCACAAACACACAATAAATGCAAAGCTATTAAATACAAGGCAGTTTGGGAGTGGGGCCCACTTTGGGGGTGGGGGGCAGAATCAGAAAAGTCATCACGTTCAAGATGGTCTCTGAGCTAAGTCTTGAAGGAACAGAGGGTGTCTATGAGGCAAGGGTGAGGAAGCTGTACATTCCACGAGTAGGAGGACGCCAGTGTAAACATGTGGTGATGAGAGATGGGAGAACCTTGTGTGAGGGACAGACCACAGAGTGTGGGAAGATGATGAAGAAACAGTTCTAAGCTATGAGCTTAAAGTGCACTAGGACTTCTGGGACACCCGAGGCTGGTAAGATAAGTTGGGAGAAAGCTGTAAAAGGTTTAAAGAACAAAACAGGAGCTTTCATAGACTGGGGAGGACAGAGGCTGGCTGCAGGGAAACTAATCAGCAGACAATTACCACAGTTCAGGCAAGGTGCAAGAAGGGGCCAAAGTAAGGTGGTGGCTTCATGAGAAGAGGCTGGGTTGGAGAGATGTTACAGAGATCAAAGGGACAAACATCTGGCAGAGAAATGGATGTGTGGGGTGGGGGCTGGGGAGCTCATCATAAATGTGGGAGAATGGAGGACAGGCAGTGTTTCTGGTCTGCTGGTGGGAAAGTTCAGAAAATCTGAGTTTGGTTGGGGGGTTGGGGGTGGGAAAAGAATGAGGTTTGTTCTGCACAAGCTGAGTGTGAGGTGCCCACCAGACAGTCAATGCTGCAGGACTGTAGTTCAGGAAAGAAACAGGCTGGATCCTGGGCTCCACCTCCTGCTTTCCTAATCATGGGGCATTTTAATTCACTGGTTACTCTACAGATTCAGAATATATAGTGTGTATATATGTGTGTGTGTGTGTGTATACATATACATACATACATACCTACCTATATATAGAGAGAGAGAGAACACATAGACACCTACATTCTACATACGCTGTCCACTCTAACCCTTATAATTCATAAATCATAGGTGCAGAGCTAGAAGGGATCTCAGAGGCCACCAGTCCAATCACCTATTATAGATGAGGAAACTGAAGCCCAGAGAAGGGAAAGTGACTTGCCTAGGGCCATACATCTTGTAAATGTCTAAAGGGGAATTTGAATCCAGTTCTTCCTGAGTAGGCTAGTAGGCAGTAGATAGAGCACAAACCTGGAGTCAGGAAGATTCAAGAGTACAAATCTGACCTCAGACACAGACCAGCTAAGCAACCTTGGGTAAGTCACTTAACCTGTTTGCCTCAGTTTCTCCAACTGCAAAATGCAGATAACAAGAGCCCCCCCAGTCTCAAATGAGATAATATTTGTAAAGCACTTAAACACAGTGTTCTGCATAATCCCTTCCCTTCCCCTCTCCTGATTCCAAGTCCACTGCCCTATTTCCTAGGCCATGCTTACTCCAATGAACTCTAGTTGAACTTCATTTATTGCCTGGGTCAGCAAAGGAAAATCAAGCATGAAAATGCTGAGCAGGGCATTCTTGTGGCATCCAGACACACAGGGAAGAACTGAAGGCGCTGCTCTTTAAGGGGGAGTCAAGCTTCTATCAGTTTCCCCTGCTATGGGAGAAATGGCTGGTCCCACTTCCCCCAACATTTCACAAAATCTTTTATAATTTTCTTATGGAAGAGACAGAGGGGTAGACAAGATGACAGTGTAGTTAGGTGACTTCAGAACAGAATGAATTACAAGAAGAACAGAATGCTCATTAATGGATCAATGTCTTCCAAGGGCAGAGTCTGCCCTGGGCCAGGTTCTCTCCAACATTTCTTATCAATGACTTGGATAAACACAGATGACACTCACGATTCAAAATAAGTCTCAAAAACAGACACAGAAAAGACACCCTACTGAACTCCTTTAATGAAACAAATATGATCCTGATACCCAAACAAAGGGAGGAACAATGCAAAGGAAGAAAAATCATATACTAATCTTACTAATGATTATCGATGTTAAATTTTTAAGTTAGATAGATCCTCACAAGGAAACTACAGAAAAATATCATGAAAACAATTCACAGCATGACCAAACCGGATTCACACCAGAGATAAAAGGTTTGTTTAGCATAATTAATCACATGAACAACAAAGATAACAAAACCACATGATTTTATCAATAACACAGAAAAGGCTTTTGAGAAAACACAGCATTCATTTATGTGGAAAAGCTCTGCAAAGCACAGAAATGGAAGGGCCTTTCCTTATTATTATTAAAATCATGTATTTAAAACTAAGACCTAAAGCTCTTTTCAAGGGAAAGTAAGCATAGCCCCACAGCCCCTCTTCCAAATACCACTTGATATAATTCTCAAAATGCCGACTAATGAAATAAGAAAAGAGGATAAAATCAAAGGTATTAATATCCACAGAGGAAGCAAACCATATGTGCCATGTTAGAAAACCCCAGTAACAAAATAATTGAGATGCTTATCAGCAATTTGCAAGGCAGCAGGAGCCAAAATAAATCCTAAAAACTCATTAGCATTTCCATACTGTGCTGACAAAAACCAGGAGGAAATGGTAATAAGAACAACTACATTCAAATTAACTGCCTTATTAAGACACACACAAAATTCATATAAAGACAAGTATAAAACACTCTTCACAGAAATAAAGGGAGACTTGAAGAATTAGGGAGACATTGACCACTCATGCCAACAGACTGAATTAATGTAAAGATTTAATGCTAATCCAATTAAGTTACTGAGGATCTACTTTTCGGAACTAGACAGATTATTGACAAAATTCATTTGGAAGAACAAAAAGTCTAGAATCTGAAGGAGAAAGGGGTATATATGAAGGAGGCATAACATTTTCAGATCACAAAGTACATTATAAAGCAGTAAGCATCAAAACTATGTTATTGTCTGAAAATGAGAAAAAAATCAGTGGAATAGACTAGATAAGCCAGCAACAAAAGCAACTGAAAACCAAATTACTGGGGGAAGAATTCCTTTCTTGACATCTGACCATCAGGCCCCTGAACAGAACTCTGTTAGGGAAAGAAATTCCAGAATGTATGAAGGAAATATTTGCAGCCCCTGAGACTCAACTCACCTGTGAGCTGACAGTCAGGATCCCAGAAGACATTCCCTCTTCCTTTGTGTTAACCTCCAAGGGAAGGGCAATATCCTCAGAGGAAGACCTGTGCAGGAGAAGGGAACCATGAGGAAGACCATCCATCCTAGCCTACAGTTGTCAGAACTGCCTGCCTAGAAAATCCCTATTGCAGAGTGAAGGGGTTAAACGGGTAACGAACAGAACAGAGGCTGGTTCAGGCTCCCATGATGGAAAACAAAGCTCATGGTATTTACACAATCCCTAAAAAAGCTTTTTTTGAAGAATGTGCTTGTGTGGCGGGCAGGGCACTGGCCTTGGAGGCAAGGAGCCCTGGTTCAAACAGACCTGTGTCACCATTGACTTCTCCATGTGCTCTTCCCTGGGGCTGAAACACAGGATTCACCAGATGCTACAAGGGGGAAGATATCCACAAGGAAAATGCAACAATGAAGAATCAGCAAAGGGAAATCATTTTTAACCTGTCTGAGTCTCAGTGTCTACTCCTGGCACCTAAAAAGTGCTCACTAATGCTTTATCTAACTGTAACCGTATAACAAACTATACAATACCTCTTAGTTTAAATACACCCCCATTCCATCGCCATGGCTATATTTTCTTTTTTTTCCTTTTTTTTTTCACAAAAGTCACTTCTTTTTTTAGTAATTAATTTTTAACATTCAGTGTTTAAAATTTGGGGTTCCAAATTCTCTTCCCTCCTCCAGCTCCTCCCTTGCCCACTGAGAAGGCAAGCAATATGATACCCATTCTACATGTGAAATCACACAAAGCCCACAGGATCTCTTAGAAATGTTTCAGCATTTCTAAAGCTGAGAGAATAATGCCTGAATCCTCCTTCCCTCACAAAAATGGTGTGAATACAAATGATATGATAAATCTCAGGTTATCTCAAGAATCTGGACTCTGCCAGTCTCACCTATGAAACCTTGGGCAAGTAACCTCCCTTTTCTGGACCCCAATTTCTTTTTTTTTAAGGTCAAGAATGTGTGTTTAATAAACACTTATATTATTCCAAGCATTGCACTAAGGGCTGGGAATACAAAATTAAGAAATAAAGAAAGCTTCAGCAGCCATCTCTCTCCATCTGTGTGATCCCTTTCTCCCACTGTTGAATTTAACCTTTAACTACCATTAAAAAATTTTTTTATTAATTTATTTTGATTTATCAACAATCACTTCCATAAGCTTTTGAGTTTTAA